GACAAATGGAGAAGTTACTGGTGCCTGCTGGAGTAAATCAATGAACAACGGGATGACAGTGACAGTGATAGCAAAAAGTAATTTGAATATTGCATACATACAAATTTATTGATGTTTTAGCATCCACTGGGCTGGAGCGATAGCACAGCAGGTAGGGCGTTTGCCTTGCACGCAGCCAACATGGCTGATCTGAGTTTGATTCCTCCGGCCCTCTCCGAGAGCCCGGTAAGCTACCGAGAGTATCTCGCCCTCAAGGCAGAGCCTGGCAAGCTACCCGTGACGTATTCAATATGCCAACCCAGTAACAACAAGTCTTGCGAAGGAGATGTTACTGGGCCCACTCGAGCTAATCGATGAACAACAGGAAGACCATGACCGTGACCGATTAGCATTCATTCTGAATTTAATGAAAACAAACATACAAAAACTTATGGTCACTTGTTAGAATTTATTCAATATATTAATCAATTGTACCTATGTAGCAGATACATTGTACAGCGCTAACAGGACCCAGACACAAGTTCCTTGAAGCACAGGATCACGACCTTAATCAAGCAGATAGAGTCTCCCGAGGACACTTCTCCCTGGAAGCTCAGAGTGACCTTATTTGAAAAAAGAAACTCCTAAGGGAATGTGGTAGGAAAAAGGTCATTCTCCATGTTGTAGGGCCCTGAACCCAGCAGGCATGTCCTTGCAAACAGGCAGTGAAGAAAGGAAGTCAGAGAATGGGATAGAGATGAGAATCATTGAATTACAGGGAAAAGAGGGGGAGGATTCTCGGAAGTTAGCAAGAGTTAAAAGGAAAAAAACTTTTTCTCCAGCAGCAGACCCTACTGAGACTTGAGTCTGGACATCTGAATTCCAGATGAAGGTGTTGGAACACCGAATTCCAGGCCTCGGAGGGAAAAGTGTTCTAGCATGCCAGCTTTCCTTAGTTTGGCTTGAATGCCTTGGAGACTAACGCAGGGAAAAAACGTCTCTGCCTTAGCTCAAGGTGAGGTGCCTAGAATCTTGGTCATGCCTCCAGTCCTTCTTACGGAATTAATTTCAATAGTTTTAACATCATCTATATACACATACCTCAAGTTACATGAAGTATTTTGAAGAAGTGTTTATTTTTTTCTGGTGCTTAATGATTCCCAATTCCAGAGGTTAGACATGTGCCTTTATTGTTGTTGTTTTTTTTTGTGGAGGTTGGACAGTTGCAGCAAGTCAACTGAGCCTGACCCTCACTTTTGCTGCAATACTCTGCTACACGGGGGTGTCAGGGCTCTGCTGACAAGTGGCTGCAGTAGCAGCACAGCAGGAGCTCGAACGTTCTGCATGTTGGCCCTTCTCCTCTTGTTTCTAGTTAATTCTCAAGCCCTTGTGTCTGGTCTGTCTGCAACAAAGACTTCTATAAGAACAGGAGGATAAATCATCACGCACCAATCATTCTGGTTTTGGCTGTTCACAAGTTGGGCATCTGCATCTTATAAACTTCTTTCTTTGTCCACTGGTTGGGTCAGTTTTCTCTCTCTGACCACCCTGTGAAGGGCAGTCAGCAATGCAGAAGGGCCTCTTTGGACGGGTGTGTTAGAACTATATTGTTTTACTTCCCTTTTCATTTTGTTACTACTGAAGAATCCTCAATAGCTCTTAAAGTATTTCCAGTCGATTGAGTTTCCTAATCTATTAATTAGTAGCAGGGCAATTTTGATTACCACACGGGTCACGGGTCACGGGCCTCCCATTGTTCATCGATTTTGTTCAAGCGGGCCCGGTAACGGCTCCATCATGAGACTTGTTACTGTTTTTGGCATATTGAATACGTCACGGGTAGCTTGCCAGGCTCTGCCGTGCGGGCGAGATACTCTCAGTAGCTTGCCGGGCTTTCCAAAAGGGGCAGAGGAATCGAACTTGGGTCGGCCATGTTGGCCGCTTGTAAGGCAAATGCCCTACCGCTGTGCTATCGCTCATACCCCAAAAGAGTCTTCTTTTTGGGACATGCCTTTCTCTGTCTTTTTAATAAGCCTTTTGAAAACTTCTCCACATGGTAATCTTAATTTTATTTTTTTAAGAAGTATAAACTTTTTTTTATTTAACAAAATTTAATTTTCACAGATGTAGCATTATTGGAACATTGAATAAGTAATAGTAGTGAATCACCTACACTAGCGCTAGGGATTTGAATCTCTAGAGATGAAGAAATAAGCATGCCTCATCTAATGAATGGTTATGACAACCAGGTCATTTTTTTGATAAGGGAAATTAATTAGTTTAAGGACAAAATTTTGGTGACTATATGATTGCTAATTACCTCATTCACAGTTAAATAAAGGAGAAATAATATGCTGGGGGAGAATCATTCCTTAGCATCCTTTTTAGTCATTTCTATTTTTAACATTGTAAAATTTCATTTTTTAGCTTAAAATCTAAAGACAGCTTTCAATTTATTAATTCCAATGTAAAATCTTGAGCTTCTGAACTTTTAAAATATTGTTCTAAGTCAATTGGGGCATATTTGCTTTTAAGAATATTGTGCTTCAGACCACAACACCCAAAAGGAGAGAGAGAACAAAAGGGAATGCCCTGCCACAGAGGCAGGGTGGGATGGGGGGTTGGGGGTGGGAGGGATACTGCGATCCATGGTGGCAGAAAATAGGGATGGGTATTTGATCATTGTATAATCGAAACCCAAGCACAAAAATTTTTAAGTCTACAACTGTACCTCGTGCTGTTTCACTAATAAAAATTATTTAAAAAATGAATGAAAACAAATTAATTAATTAAAAAAAAGAATATTGTGCTTTGTTTGTTTTAGTTTTTGCTTAAAACCTTTTTCCAGAATGCAACACTCACCAATATTCATGTCCAATTATTATAAACTATGGTTAATTATTGAGATTTTTCCTGCGGGGTCTACTAAGCCATACAACAGGGGTATGGGAATTTCTTCCAGTGATACTCAGGCAGGTGTGTGACAGTTCTAGTCTTAGGCAATGCGTCGCTACTTGGACTCAGTAGATTTCACTTACTCACAGCTGTACTCCTGGAGACCCACCACAACTCACTTTTAGAATCAATCAGCTAAGAGCTGGAGCAATAGCACAGAGGGTAGGGCGTTTGCCTTGCACACGGCCCACTTGGCTTTGATTCCCAGCATCCCATATGATCCCTTGAACACCGCCAGGAGTAATTCCGGAGTGCAGAGCCAGAAGTAACCCCTGTGCATCGCCAGGTGTGACCCAAAAAGCCAAAAAAAAGAGAGAAAAGAATCAATCAGATAACTTTCATGTCAATGTCACTCATGAGATTTGAATTCATGGATTTGTGAGCATGGCTACTTTGTAGAGCAAAAATTGGTAGAACTATATGGGTCAAGGGTATTTCTGTAGATTTCTTACTCTTAACTACAGTGCACTATTGGAGTGATCAGGATGAATATGGAAGCTATTTTTAATGAAATACTTTTGGTGATGTTTTTAAAAACAGGATGAAAAGATAAGTTGATGCAGGATAACTTTCAATATAACTTCAATCTTCTGCATCTGAGAGTGTGGCTAATTATTAGGGAACTTTTTCTCTGTGAATTTTAGATCAAGTTAATAAAAAAAATCAGTCTCATTCCTAACCAAAACTCTTTTAGTGATGACTAATATAAAAATATATATAATATTAAAATGTTTATACATTCATATAAAATGTATAAAAGACATACATATAATTGGACATTTGTAATTATAATAACTGAATAAGACACATGCATATTATTACATATACACCATCCACATCTCCTTATGAATATATGCAAAGAGAGAGAACTACGAGAAGAGTGAGGAGGTGTATTCAGTGTGAAGGGAGACTATCACTGGTCAGCATGGAAATAAACACTATTATCAGATTTCTGTATTTGAAAACCAATGAATGTAACACACTTTACATAAAGGGCATGAGGAGAAAAGCATGACCACTAAGGGAATGTAGAAAAGTATTTGGAGAAATTTAATGCAACGCCATAATATGAAAACACCTGGGGAAGAGGGAGAGAGGAAAACACTTCAATATCACGAAAGTCCCACGGGAACAGCTGCCACCATACGTTCAATAGCTGGCTAATAAGAGCAAACCTATCCTCTACTAAGACAAAAGTATCTTCTCTCAATAAGTCAATGCACAGAAAATTGAATGTTTGAATAAAATAATGAGATGATAAAAATGTATCAAGCCCGAAAAGATAATCTCCAGATGAAATAAGATCATAGATGTGGAAAACCCAAAATAATGCACAAAAAATCCATTGCATTGATCAGTTTTACTAAAGTGGAAAGATTAAAAATCTCTGGATCAATGTTATGTTTTAAAATACGCTAGCAACGGGCACTTTAAAAGAAATAAAGACAGCAGTTCCTTCTACAAAACCTCAAAGAGAATAAAATATTAGGGACTAAGCTAATATTTTCTAAGGAGAAAAAGATTTGTCCATTGAAAACTGTAAAATAGCGTCAAGAAAAATGACACCACTGCATAAAAGGAAAGATATTCAGTGCTTTTTGGTGATAGATGGCAGGCAAATAATTGTACCCAAGAAAAACTCAGTTTTAGTGCAATCAATCTCAAAATACGTTATCTATAACAAAGAAAACTGTATATTCTATAATTCTCATAGAACCTTAGTAACCCACTAGGAAAAACCACTGATAGAAAAATTAACTGTAGTCTCATACTTCAAATTTTAAAAACATTCCAAAACTACATGAAACAAAATAATAGGGTGCTGGTAAAAAGGCAGACTCATTGGTCAATGAAATAGAATGGGGGATCCCAGAAACAAACTCTCATGGATATTTTCTTTCTGTTTTAAAAAATTTTTTATTAGTGAAACACCATGAGGTACAGTTGTAGACTTACAAATTTTTGTGCTTGGGTTCCAGTTATACAATGATCGAGTACCCATTCCTCCACCAGTGCCCACGGATATTTTCAATTTACCTTTGAAAAGTTACTCTGGCCACCCTACCTCAGGGCCCGGTGTGCTTCTGCCCCAGGCGCCGAAGGGCCTCCTTCACGTCCTTGTTCCGCAGACTGTAGATGAGGGGGTTGAGCATCGGGATGACCAGCGTGTAGAACACGGAGATCACCTTGCCCTGGTCCATGGACTCCACGGCCCCCGGCTGGGCATACATGACAAAGGCAGTGCCATAGAAGAGGGCCACGGCCGTCATGTGGGAGCCACAGGTGGAAAAGAGCTTGTGCCGGCCCGTGCCCGAGTGCATCCTGAGGATGGTCACGGTGATGTAGCCATAGGAGATGAGGATCACAGCCATGGTGCCCACAATGAAGAGCCCACAGAGGCCAAACATCACCAGCTCATTGAGGGCTGTGTCGGTGCAGGCCAGCTGGAGCAGGGGGGGCACGTCACAGAAGAAGTGGTTGATGCGGTTGGAGCCGCAGAAGGGGAGGCTGAACGTGAAGCTGGTCTGCATGCTGGTGTTGAAGAGGCCTCCGCAGTAGCAGACCAGCACCAGGCGGGCACAGACTGAGGGACACATGGTTACAGGGTAGCGCAGGGGACTGCAGATGGCCATGAAGCGGTCATAGGCCATCACGGCCAGGAGCAAAACCTCAGTGGTACCAAAAAAGGAGAAGAAGAAGAACTGGGAGGCACAGCATGCAAAGGTGATGGCCTTGGAAGAGGAGAAGAAGTTGGCCAGGGTTTGGGGGGCGATGGCAGATGAATAGCACAGGTCCAGGAAGGACAGGTTCCGGAGGAAGAAGTACATGGGGGAGTGCAGGTGGGCATCCAGGGTGATGACCACGATCATGGTGAGGTTCCCCAGGACGGTCACCGTGTACAGGGCCAGGATGACAGCAAAGAGTAGGGCCTGGGTCTCCGGGCCCCCCTCGAATCCCACCAGCACGAAGTCCTGCAGAGGCGTCGCTGAAAGGTTCCCATGTGTGAGGGCCGGCATGGTCCAGGGTGGGTGGTGGGTTGGGTGGAAGGTGGCAGTGAGTAGGAGGCGATGGGGGACGGGGTAAATCAGTGTCTCAAGGTCATTCTTTTCCTGGAACACAAGATCTCTTTTGTGCCAAGGTCCCACTATCCGAGCAGTTCCCACACCATTGTTTGCCCTCCAGATGCTTCCAACTGACCTGAAAGGCAAGAGTGTGTGATGAGGGACTGCAAGGATAAAGGCTCTTTCCCCGAAGACGCTGAGCTGGTGCTGCCAGGTGTTACAGATGCAGTGCTGAGCACTCAGAAGGAGACCAGGCGAGGATGTGCATCTCCTAGACAGGGATGAGGAGATGACACCCCCAACCCTGTGAGGCCTCATCTGCCTCTGCCCCCATCAGCCCTTCATGCCTTTCAGAAAAGGTGGCTGAGCACTGAGGCGGGTGCTAGCTGCACCTCCAGGAGAGCCTGGGGAGAGCTGGCCCAGTGCTCACTAGCTGGTACAGAGAGGTGTGTCTCTGCCCGTCTGTCTGCCTGGTCGACTCGCAATCTGCTCTGACTGTTCTTGTCACTGAGCCATAACCTGGTGGCCCCGATTCAGCTGTGGGCACTGAGTCCAGCCGGGGCTATAGTCACCACTCTGAGTGTTTCCTGTCCGCACAGACCACTGCCCCCTGCCCTCACCTTCAGAGGCGGCCCAGGACGGGCGGGCACTCTCAGTGGGCTGCTCTGATGGGGCGAGAACTGACTCTCCCTTGCTCTGGGCTCAGCGCTGCAGTGACAGGGAATGAGGTGGAGGCGCGTGTGTCGCTCCTCCTCCTCTGAGTAGGACGGGCTGTGGGTGGCTCAGCGCGTCCCTGCAGCAGACGCACTCGGCCACTACAGTGAAGAGTCTCCCTTGTCCAGAGGGACCAGAGGCCTCCAGTGGCCAATTAGGCAATGCCGGCTTCTGCAGGCTCTGGGCTCCGGCTCCCTGGGTTCCCAAGTCCTGTGACCCACTGTCCCCGATTCCCAGCCCCGACGGTGAGCAGGAGGCCTGGCACCTTCCACATCCCTGTGGGACCAACTAGAGAGAAAAAGGCAACGGAAAGTCCTGGTGTTGAGTGGCCTAGGTGAAAGGCATGGACACCACGCAGATACAGTGGACTGCTTGGGTGTGCCCACGTAACTCTGCGACAACATTCAACACTTGTTCTGAAGGAAGAGGCTCAGCTGTTGTCAGAACAACCGACTCTAGACTTTAGGACTCTGGAGCTGATGTGGCTGATTTTCACAGTGAAAGCATCTCACATTTGAACACACATCTCAGGGGAGGGGAGGGGACTAAGTCTCACATCACTACTTCACTCTTGCTTTGCTGATTCACATGTTTAGTCTGAATTTCACAGCACAGAGTGGAATGTGTCACATGTGGCCCCAACAATGAGGACAACTGATGACTACCCTCCGACGTCCTGATGAATCTATCACATCTTCCAGAAGGGCAAAGGAGAAGATTATCCATGACTTCTACTTGGATCTCTTCAATAGCCATGTCCACCTGCCCACATACCAAATTCCGTGGGATGGATATGTCGTTCCCAATGTTCTCCCTTCCTAAATCCGACACCCCATTTTGTTGGTAAAGAAGCAAACAGCAGGGGGTATGGTGCTGTCAGCAGGTCAATATATACCTGTGAGGCGAGTGCATCAGCAGCCCTATGGCACCTCCAGACTTCCAGATACCCCAAAATTTCTACTGTGCCTTTGGTCAGACCCCAAAAACTTGGTGCAAAGTTTACCAAGAAAGTAAACAGCCAAAAGTTAGGTATGTGGAAGACACACCCACAAACCACCTCTGGCACAGCTATATAATTGGAGGCAAGGCCTCTCTGATTTCATATCGAACTGCTTAATGACCATGATCCCAGAGATTCAGAAACAAATCTTGAAACCCAATGGTTTTGGGCAGAAATGTGTTCGGTCACTGCAGTAGGTTACCGGCACCGGGCCACCCCAGGTGGAAATAGGTTTCATGCCTTGGCCTGTTCCCCCCGGGTGGCCCGATGGCCACCATCCTTCAGAGGCCACTGGACAGTCAGGTTTGGGCCTGCAGTGACGAGACACGCAGGGTCTTATGGGATGGGGATGGAGCCAGCCCTTTCCTCCCCAGCCCAACAAGACTCCGAGTCGCCGCCCAAGAACAGCTCTCTGGCTCCTGATCAAGCTGCTTAACGGCCATGATCCAAGAGACTCAGGAACAAATCTTGGAACCCAGCAGGTTTTGGCAGAAATCGCTCCAGATTTAATTGCTAAAATTTTGGAATTTCAAAATCGCACAGCCACTACTTCAGCCACATGACATCATATGTTATTCATAACCAGTAATAGGAAAAAATTGTCTACTGTTGCCTTTTCAGCATATCTTAGTGTTGGGGTAAAATCCCAAATAATAATGGTGGGTCTGGTGTCAAAATATTGAATGTAATCAAAATAGAGAGAGAGTAATGTGGAAAACAACTGCCTCACAGGTACGGGGAGGGTGTGGGATGGGGGTATACTGGGGTTTTTGGGGGTGGAGAATGGGCACTGGTAAAGGTACGGGTGTTTCATTGTATGACCGAGACTTAAACCCGAAAGCTTTGTAACTGCTCTAACGGTGATTCAATAAATAAAATTATAAAAAATGAAAAAAAGGTGGAGTTCGTGCTTAATTCAATCAACTAATCAGTGACTGAATAAATAGCAGTACTCCTACATAAAAAAGAAAAAACCCAAAATACTAGCCAATAGAATCCAACGACTCATCCAAAATATCTTACAGACCAAGTAGGATTCATCCCAGGGATACAAGAATGGTTTAACATTCGTAAGCCAATCAACATAATACACCATTTCCAAAAAAGGAAAGATGAAACCCATATTATCATATCAATAGATGCAGAGAAGGCATTTGACAATATCCAGCACGCATTTATGATAAAAACGTTCAGCTACGTCCTGCCCTGACCGTGGCTCGGTCTCAGCACCACGCAGGCCCTCGCTTCTGCAAGTGCAACCAGAGTGGTCCCACACACTTCTCCGCTGGCTTTGGTGGTTGACCATGGCACTGCAGGGCCCAAGAAGCACAGAACTCTCAGCCTTAGCGTCCCATCAACAGCAGGTTTGGCCCAAAATTGCTGGGAGGGACCTGGGTTCTAAGAAAAGCTTCGAGGGTGCCTACCCCCAAATGATAAAGTTAGCTATGAGCTGAGTCACGAACTGGAATAACTCAAGATGTCTTAATAAGAACTTGTCGCTTGTCACTTGTCACCCGTTGCTGATCTATTTGCTCGAGCAGGGGCCACTAACATCCCCATTCATCCCTGTTGTGTGCTAGTGTAGCCCAATGGTATCTGCTCGCTCCAGGAACATGAAGAGCCTCAAACCGTTCATTCAGGGTCTTGATGAAGTCTGACCATCTCGTAGGTGGGTGGTCTCGCCATCTTTTGACATCCCGTGGAATCCAGTTGGTAGCAGCTCTAGTCCAGCGGTCATCTCTAAATTGTATTACCTGTCTGGCCTGATTTTCGACGACTTGGCAAACGAGGCAGCATCCCTGATACTCGGTCATTGACAGAGGTTGGAACTCCAGGTTCCTTCTCTCACTTAAGTGAAGCGTGATCCTCCAAGCATAACTCTTAAGATTCCTCTTTGGAAGACACAAATAGCATTCTCATCCTGTTTTCGTAAGACTCAGGTCTCTGAGGCATATGTTAGTGCAGGAAGAATTGTGGAGTCCAAAACATGTGCCTAGAGCCAGAGGTTCTTCATCTTCTTAACAACTTCAACTCTCTTGAAGGTGTTCCACGCCTCTTTTCTTTCTGCACAGTTCGGGCACCAAATCATTCGTTATGTAGAGTTCTCGACCCAAGTACACATAGCTGCTGCATTTGGAAATGTTCATTCTGTTGAGAGCAAATGAAATCTGAGGACTAGTTAGTCTCTCATGAACATTGTCTGCGTGAGATTCATTTGCAGTCCGACCTTTTCACACTCATGGTCAAAGTCAGTCAACATTAGTGCCCCTGGCTAATGTTTGGTGTTATTAGAAAGATGTCATCAGTGAAACAGAGGTGGCTCACTTGCCAACTGTCTATCTTCACTCCCATTCCTTTCCATTCCAGTCATCGCATGACATTTTTGAGGGTGGCACTGAGGAGTTTCGGTGAAATAGTATCACACTACAGAACCCCTTTCTGACATCAATGAACACTTCCTTGTAGAATGGTGAAATCCTGGTGGTGAATCCATAATACAGCACACAGAGGATCCTAATGTACTGAGTTTGAATGCCCTGTTTGGCTAGGGCTTCGATGACTGCTTCAGGCTCAACAGGATCAAAGGCCTTCTTTAAATCAATGAACGTTAGACAGAGCGGCATCTTGAACTCCCTTGAAACCTCAATGAGCTCGGTCATCGTGTGGATACGGTCTGTCGTGCTGAATCCTTTTTCGGAATCTCACTTGTTCTAATGGTTGTCCTTCATCTACTGTTCTGCTGATCCTATTCAGGATAACTCGAGTGAATAACTTGTAGACAACAGACAACAAGCAGATTGGGCGATAGTTGCCAATGTCGTGGATGTCTCCCTTCTTATACGACAGAACAGTCATGCTGGTTTTCCACTGGGACAGAATCTTGCATTCAGACAGGTAATGTGTGAAGAGCCGAGCCAGTGTATTGATGAGTACTGGCGTAAGATACTTTAGGTGTTCGGGTCTGACCTTGTCTGGACAGGGTGTTGTACACTTCTTTACTGATGAAATGGTATGTTGGATTTTGGAAGGGAGAACATGGGAACGGCACATTCATCCTGCAGAATTTGGTATGTGGGCAGATGGAGGTGGCTATCGAAGAGATCCGAGTAGAAGTTGTAGATAACCTTCTCCATTGCCCTTCTGGGTGATGTGACAGATCTATCAGGACATCAGAGAGCAGTCATCTTTCTTATAGTTGGTGAAAAACAGGCGGGATTTGCGAATACTTTTCCCAGCATCT